TCTCTTGTCAATTGATCGAAATCTTCAGAATTCAAATTTTGAAGATTCGATGATTTCTATATATCTGATCGGGAATTCGAATTTTGATGATCTTCGAATCTCTGGATATTTGCTTAAAAATAGATTTTGAAGGGGCGAATTTTTTCAATGAATTTTCTTCTTTATTTTCGATAAGAAGGATTATCATTCCATTTCAGAGATTCGTTGCCGTCCCATTCTTCGTCACCTTCTTCGAAAAGGATCTGCGCGGCCTCCTCTATGTTCAGTTGGCGGTTCTTTTCTGGGCAGTCTCGCAATTGTGGGTGCTCCAAAAGTCTTTGGCTGCTTGGAACGTGTGACTCGCTTCTTTTTGAGCCAAGACGACAGGTCAGTTGTGCAAGGTTTGTTGCCAAGAGCCCGTGGTAGTAAACTTTCGGCTTTAGGAAGCTTGCATGGAAGTGCTCTGCAAAACGGCTTGCCTGCTTTTTCATTCCGCAGCTGGCGCACGCTGGCAGTCTGGATGTTCGAGGCTCCGAGATTGAATATGTACACGTGTGGTGAAACACGAAGTGCAGCTGCGGAGCCTGGCAGAGTGCGGTTGGCACACGTGTTGCTGCTTTCGTATTAATTACTGTGTTGCATGCTTTGAACCCTTGCGCCCTGCCAGCCTATACTTCTCGGATTGCGAACGTGCTGGGAAATCGTCGGAGCTCTTGCAAGAAGGCTTGGTCTGTCAGTTGCTCCGGAGTGCGTGCCAAGGAATCCAGACGGAAGATTGTGTCATTGAAGAAGCGGTAGGCCACCCAGTGAGCATTGTCCCGGTTCTGCACCAGGCCCATGGCTGCTTCTAGTTCGTGCTTGGTCGTGACGGGCTGCAGCACCATCTCCCATCGAACACGGTCATGGACAGCCAGGGCCTTGGATTGAATGACCTGAGCCAGTACTTCGGAGGAGTAGTAGCCATCTGCGGCCATGTGGTCTTGCGCCTGTTCACCCCGTTCTTCGCCACCTTCTTGGAGAAGGATCTGCACGGCCTCCTCCATGTCGGTCTCGGTGAAGAAGGCCTCGCCTAAAACGTGATTCAACGCGTGGATGCCACAGAGAGCACGTTCTTGGCGCTCGAAATATGGGAGGTTGCCTTGCGGGCATGGTGCCGGGGCTGCGGGCTGACTGCTCGTCCGTGGAACCTTGGCTGGCGTAGCGCTAGATTGGGATTCGGCTGCCGCCCGCTTGCCGGTGCTCTTCGCATTTCCCTTGCCCTCGCGCTTGCCTTTGCTCTTCGCCTTTGCGCTGGTTGTGGCTTGGGTTTTTGCCTTGGCCTTGGGTTGCCGCTTGCTTTGGGCGTTGGCTTTAGGCGTGGGTTTGGCGGGGCACTTCTGCCGGTGCTGCTTCTTGGCCTCTTTGGTATCTGGTGCCTCCTGACCACATTTCGGGCAGCGCCAAGGTACCTCGCCCTCTTGCTCCTGGAGCTTCCTCAGTCGCGACCAATCTGGAGCGCCCATGTTGGCCAGCTGCGTTTCGTAAAAGTTCTTGCTCTCTGGCGGTCGAAAGAGATCCTTCCACAGCTCCGGGCCATCTCGGCCGGCTTGCTGAGCCTTTAGCTTGGTCAACGCCCATTCCGCGTTGGCATTGTAGCGCAGCGCTTTTGGATTGAAGAGCTCGAAGGTGCAGAGGGCTTGCTCTGGGCAGCGGCTCAAAGCTACGTAGGCCTGACCCTCTTGACTGCAAGTGGCATCCAGACGGGAGTGGGCACCATCGCGCAGGGTGGCCGCTTGGCTTTTGTGGATGGAGGTGGCTTTCGCAAGAACGAGAGGAAATTGGAGTCTCGACGCCTTGCTTCCGTCCATGTCTAGATAAGTGGCCGATCGTCGTGAGACGGCGACGAAGCTGGTCTCGTTCTCTGCGCACCACTTGGCCCCTGCCTTCTTCTCGAAAGCGACCCAAATGTCCTCAACCTCTCCAGTTTCCTCGTCCGCGTCAATTTGTTCCACGAAGCCGCAGGCTCCGTTCACCAGGCCGTCCTGCACGTCGATGTTATGCCTGAGCATGACTCGGACGCCGACCGCGACCTTCAGCAACGCCTCCAAGCCACCTGTGTTCTCTGGGTCGGCCCAGACCACTTCCGTGGGCAGCGGTGCGCCGGTCTTGAAGTTGGTGTCCAGTGCCGGGCACTCATAAAGCTTTGCGCCAGTCTTTGCGATGTGCTCCTCAATGTAGCAGCGATTGCTTTCTGCGACCGCACGGCGAGTGGGGTACAGAAACACTGCCTTGGGAGCGGGCTGCCTACTGTCGTTCTTCTTGACCTCCATGCCGCGCAGCTCCTGAATGTCTTGCTCCGTCCACTTTCCAACGCGAACTCGCGCCAACAGGGCTGCCCATCTGGGATCTTCTGAAGCACGCTGGTTCCCCTCGAGCTCGCAGAGTTGAAACAGCAGCCACAAATGACTGGCGAAGGAGGGCAAGCCTCCTGGTGGTGGCAACTGATACAGGTCCCCGGACAGGACAAGGTGCACGCCTCCGAACGGAATGTAGGGTACATCTTTGGCCAGACGGAGATGCTGATCGAGGCGCTCAAGCATGTATGAGGAAATGAAACTCATTTCGTCCACAAAGAGCACCGAGACCAGCTTCCAGATGTTCCGGAGCGCTGCAAGCTGCGGGCCGCTTGGCAGCGGCAGGTCGCACGCTTTGCCATAGCTTTTGTTGACGACGGGCAGCAGGCAGCAAGAGTGCAGAGTGACCCCGTTGATGTTCCAGGCAGCCACTCCAGTGGGCGCCGCGATGATCACCCCGACGCCGCTCTGTCGGATCATGTGGGCCGCGGCCCGCACCACGACAGACTTGCCGCAACCACCTGGCCCATGCAACAGCATGTGGAGGCGATCGGGATCATGAGCATCCTTGGAGGTTGGCTTCAAGGCGGAGTGGATGATGTACTTCATGGCTCGGCATTGGTGCTCTGTTGTTGGGCTCGGGTTTTGCACAGTGAGCAGGTCGAAGGATTCCTCGCCTTCCTCAACCGGCGCGAAGGCGTCGCCAGGCGCGCCTGTTGGCACGTGGTCTGGCGCCACGAAGTCTATGTCGTCCCCGTGCCGCTCCTTCAGTGCCTCGAGAATCTTCAAAGAGTCCTCGTAGTTGTCTTGGGCCACCTTGCTATTGGCCCAGCCATCCCGCAAGTGTGCCGGATGCATCCGTGCTCTCATGTACATGGCGGCTTGGACGGCCTGCAACTTCCGAGCAGCGTTCACGGTTCCGTCCATTTGTGGGAAGCACTTCGACCGGAGGAAGTCTGGGTGGCCACCGACATCCTGGGCGAGGCGCCGAAAGGCTGCAGCGTGACTGCCATTGTCCTCGTCTCGCAGCCAATCTCCCGGATCTTTCCACACAGTGTACAGCATCAGTCTGGAGTAGTAAAAGGCTTCTGGCTCCTGGTCGGGGCTGAAATTGCGGTAGGCCACTATGGCCGGGCGCTTCCGTGGCTGCGGGAAATCTACACCAATGTACTTGAAGGCCGCGCAAAAGTCCAGGAAGTTCACGTCCCGGAATTGACACGTCGTGGGCATGCCACCTTCCACGGGAATTTCCACCTCTTGCTCGCTGAAGGCCTTCTGCATCTCTCGGTACCAGCGTTGCGCCGCGGGCATGTATCCATCTCGATCCAGCTTGCTGCGACGATAGCTGTCCGGTCGTTGCAGGGCCCTGCTCTCCTCGGACTTGGGCACCGACAGGGTCCACGTCTCGGGAGGTCCCACTTGGATCCATTCGTTGTCTCTGGAGAACTCGACGATGGGGAATCCCAACAGCAGGTGGCACGCTTCAAAAGTGGATGTGGTCCTGCCCTGCAGCGCTGCGTGCGCGGCCTTGTAGATCTGCTGGTTACCGAGGCCGGCGCCATCTGCGTTGCTGGAGGTAAGGCTGGCAACGATCCTCTCCATGCGCCGCTGCGCCTCCTGGTCCTGCTCCGATTTCAAAGCGTAGCCGAGAATGTAGCGGCTGGCGCTTGTCAACTCGCAGATCACTTGGAGGTCCATGCTGGCCCGCCACCGCCGGAGGATCTTGATGTTGTACTGGCCCATCATCTTGTCGGACTCTACCCGTCTCGTGGCGAGGCTGCTTTTCCAGCGGCTATTGGCGTACTTCTCCTGAGAGCTTCTGCGCCTGGTCCGCTCTTCTGGGCCGTGCGGAAATCCAAAACGGCAAGCGCCGTCCGTCTTGATGCCGCAATATTCGGTGTGCTTGTGCACCAGGAATTCGGCCAGTTTTGCGTTGAGCTCCTTGTCCCGGGACGAAACTTTCGTGGACTTGCGCCAGCTGCCCGGACTTTTGGTGACGATGTACTTGTCGCTCCAGTCCTCAGCACACGTGGGGGTGAAATTGTCCATGGCCTCCTCATCCGACCAGTCGGGACCTTGCGGCTTTGCTTCTGTCTCCTCGTTTTCGGAAGGGACCTTCGCCTTTTGGTTGGGCTTCTCCCATTCCAGCACCCAGAGCAGGATGTGAGCATGCGGATAGCCCCTCTTTTGCCACTCGATGCGGATGAGGTAATCCACGACCTTGAACGGCGGGCGCTCCTTGCGGACCCCGCGGTGCTGGCCTGCAGAGTCTGTAGCTGGCGCCTGGACGAAATCATCCTCTGCTTTGTGTGGCGTTCTCTCCGGCTCATCCTCGGCATCTGCATCCTCGTGAAGGTGGGTCTTGGCGTCGTGCTCGGCAGATAGCCAATACATCAACTGGGTCAGCTGGTGCATGAACTGTCGCGCTACGATGGCAGGGTGCTGATTGCAGAGCTGGTTTGGTGACAGGCCGTCCCACGTGAACTTCACGTCGGCTTGATAGCGCTGCAGTATCTCCGCGGCTTGGCGCTCAAACTCTTCCGGCGGCCTCTCAGGATGCAGCCGTAGGAGCCGGGCTGTGATGACTGCGATCAGGATGTCGGGTTGCCGGGCATGACAGGAGAGCGTCATGAAAAACTTGGGCACTCCCAGTTGCTCATACATGTTCAGCGCAACGTTCTTCTTTGCGTAGACGTATGAGCTGGTGCCGGGGATGTCCCTCAGGGCTGTAAACACCTGACCTTTGCCCTCTTGGTATTTGGTCTTCCCACCTGGAGCCTGCTGGTTGCCGATCCTCACATTGATGTTGCCGGAGAGACGCTTCTTCAGGTGCATTTCGAGAAGCCACATGATGTAGGCCGGTGATGACTCGAAACGCGGGTCCGAGCCGAGAAGACGCTTGCGAGCGTACTGGGAGAAGCTGCCATATCCATTCTGCCATCCGCCTGTGCCCGTGGAAAATAGATGTGGGAAGAACTTCACGTCCATGTCGTCCGTGAGCTCCGCCGTGCCCCGGGCTTTCTGCAGCTCCACGGTTTCCGCTCTGGGCGTTTTCAGCTCTTTGGGGATCAGGTACGTCATCTGCAGCTTGTCTTCCTTCTCTTCCATCGTTTCAACAGAGGCCGCTGCGTCTTCCGAGTGTTGCGCTTCGCCCCCCAAGGCCGAGGAGTGTGAGCCACCGGACTCCCCCGTTTGGCGCTCTTGGGAGGTTTCGTGGGCTGTCATTGCTGCTGCGCTTGTGCATGGCTGCGCTTTTCCAGCCAGGATGCTTTCCATTCTTGTCAAGGCTCTGTCCACTGCCGGGTTTGCCTGGTAGAGGCGGTGCTGCGTTTTCAGCTCTTGCAAGGCCTTGTGTAAGCAGTCGAGACGAGCTGGGGAAGCGGTCTTGCCCTGCACTCCTTCCACCAGGACGGTGCCGTCTTCCTCAAGTGTGGCTCCTTCCAGGACATCGCAGATGAAGGGGTCGTCCACCAGCACTGCATACATTCGGCCCCATTGAGCGCTTGGGCCGCCCGAAGGTAGCTTGTCGAGCAACACTTGGGAGATTCGGGCCATGGCGATCAGGTGCTGCTCGATAGGCTGGAGATGCTGGAGCGCCTCGGGGATGGGTGGCAGGATCGGCAAAAGGATCTTGGCAGTCTTTTCTCGACAATTCTTGCACAACATCTTTCCTGTCGATTTGGCCGGTCTGCAGTACTTGCCTGTCGTGAAGATTCGGCATTCCTCACATATCCTGGACAATCCGAACCTTCCCCAGCTTCGAGTGAAGGCACGGTAGTCGGCCTGTGCACGTTCGGGACTCAGCACATCCTCGTCTGGAAAGGGATAGCCTTGCTGCTGGAGCTCTGTTGCAACAGGCTTTGGCCCGCGGCTACCCATGCCCTCCTCGGCCCTCTCGGCCTGCAGCTCACGCCTGTGTGTTCGATAGCTGTCTTCCTCAGGCTTGGGTCCACGGCTGCCCACTCCCTCCTCGGCCCTCTCAGCCTGCAGCTCACGCCTGTGTGTTCGATAGCTCTCTTGCTCAGGCTTGGGCCCACGGCTGCTCACTCCATCCTTGGCCCTCTCGGCCTGCAGCTCACGCCTCTGTGTCCGTTCACTTTCTTCTTCTTCTGGGCGTCCCCCTGAGCCAGGCATGGGTCCACGGCTGCCCACTCCCTCCTCTGCCCTCTCGGCCTGCAGCTCACGCCTCTGTGTCCGTTCACTTTCTTCTTCTTCTGGGCGTCCCCCTGAGCCAGGCATGGGTCCACGGCTGCCCACTCCCTCCTCTGCCCTCTCAGCCTGCAGCTCACGCCTGTGTGTTCGATAGCTGTCTTCCTCAGGCTTGGGTCCACGGCTGCCCACTCCCTCCTCTGCCCTCTCAGCCTGCAGCTCACGCCTGTGTGTTCGATGGCTCTCTTCCTCAGGCTTGGGCCCACGGCTGCCCACTCCCTCCTTGGCCCTCTCGGCCTGCAGCTCACGCCTCTGTGTCCGTTCACTTTCTTCTTCTTCTGGGCGTCCCCCTGAGCCAGGCATGGGTCCACGGCTGCCCAGTCCCTCCTTGGCCCTCTCGGCCTGCAGCTCACGCCTCTGTGTCCGCTCACTTTCTGCTTCTTCTGGGCGTCCCCCTGAGCCAGGCATGGGTCCACGGCTGCCCACTCCCTCCTCCACCGTCTTGGCCTGCAGCTCACGCTTCTTTCCTCGCGTGCTCATTGTGATAGAAACAGGTCCACGGCTGCCTGCTCCTTGCGCTGCTCGCTCTTGCTGTCGAGCTCTTTTCTCTGCGCTCTGCTGGGCTAACCGCTCTTCCTGTTCGGCTTGGCGGCATTGTGGGTTGCTGCACCATCCCTGTCCTCGTCCACTCCTGTTTCCCACGCCGCATCGCTGGCAGGGTGCCATGGCTAATGCTAAACGGCTGAATCCGAACCAGTCTACAGTCTACAGTGCAAGTCGTTGACAAACACAAGCTTCGCGGAGGCTGTAAAAGTTCAACAACGGATCAACGGAGGTTGCAAGATTTCGCAGCAGAAGCTAAGTGTGTGTCTGCCATTGCTCAGCAGGAGCCCTGATATGTGCAGATATGGTTTTCTTCCACGTTTGTTTGGAGCAGTGACTCGGCAGTCAGACGGCGTTTTTCACGCTCAGCCTGTACAACGGATCAAATTTGCGTGCTGAAAACGATTTGCACACAGACGACGTCATTGTCATCGGCTCTACTCAGCAGGTCGAGCCAAGCCCAAGCGTCGGTGATCAGGTCGCTGCCACAAACTAGCTTGGTCGTTTCCAAGCATATTGGGCCCACATGAGAAGCGTCCAGGTCGTGTAGAAGCACTTCCCTTGGAGGGCGGTTCTCAAGAAATTGTGCTGGAGTGGGTTTTCCTGCGCGTTTTCTTCTTGAACGCAGCTCCTGTAGGGAAAGCGTCACGTCCGACTCGTTGTTGTTTCTTGCGTGCAGTTCTGCTAGTTCTGCCTCTCGATACGAGCCGAAACGTTCTGGTACGATGGGGCATGGCCTCGAGCAGTGCAGCATCTGTCCGTCCATGTTTCGGTACTGCACTTGCATCTTTGCCATCCGCTTCTCCAGTTCCATTTCTTGCTGGAACATTTTCTGGTCCTGCGCGTCTTGCATCATGATTGCTTTTTCGATCGGGTCTGACTCCCACCTGGCCATCTCGTGCATGACAAATTCTGCTTCCAGCATGGCCTGCTCGAGCTCGTACTCCTTGATTTGTTCCTGGTAGTCATCCTGTTCGGAAGCCTGAATGGAGTGGTCCTCTTCCATAGATTCGGACATGGCCGTCGCACCAGTCGACCTGAGGAAAAGCCAGCACGCGTGCCTTGAACGACTGGAAGAGAGCGACCAACTGAGGTTTGCGCTTGGAGATGGTTGTCCAGGTGGAAGTGGGGGCACGGTCCTAAACTTGATTCTTGATTTTGGGCCCAAGCGCACGGCGGCTGTGTTTGGGGAAAAAGCTACTGCAGCAACATGACTCGATCGCTGTGGCACGACTGGAGCTCTGACACTTTTTTGTTTCGTGATTGTGTTTTCTTCACGTTTCGAGGTCAATCCAGCACTCGCATTGCTCTTTTGCTCCTTTTTCAGTGCAGCGAGCTGACAGCGATGTAGCCATTCTGTGAAACGCATTTTGTGAGCGGCTCTCGGGTGGCTGCACTCAAACTTTTTGCTTGCGTGGCAGAGCTGCAAGGAATGCAGACTTTTTCGCGTCGATTTCACGTCCTGCATCAATCTAGGCTCAGAAATTGCATCCTAGCACCATGCCTGGTGGCTTCTGGCCATTGTTCTGGCTGGTGCGGCTGGCTGTGAAACGCTTCCCACCTGCCTCCCGGCAGAAGGTGCTGAGAATCTAAGCGCAGCAGGCTGGCTGCGAATCTCTTCCCGCCTGCCTCCCGGCAGACAGTACTAGGAATCTAAGCTCAGCGATTGCATCCTAGCACGAGGTCAGCTGTCTTTTGGCCATTCTTCTGCTGGTGCGGCTGGCTGCGAAACGCTTCCCATCTGCCTCCCGGCAGAAGGTACTGGGAATCTAAGCGCAGCAGGCTGGCTGCGAATCTCTTCTCGTCTGCCTCCCGGCAGACGGTACTGGGAATCTAAGCTCAGCAATTGCATCCTAGCACGAGGTCAGCTGTCTTTTGGCCATTCTTCTGCTGGTGCGGCTGGCTGCGAAACGCTTCCCATCTGCCTCCCGGCAGAAGGTACTGAGAATCTAAGCACAGCAGGCTGGCTGCGAATCTCTTCTCGCCTGCCTCCCGGCAGACAGTACTAGGAATCTAAGCTCAGCAATTGCATCCTAGCACGAGGTCAGCTGTCTTTTGGCCATTCTTCTGCTGGTGCGGCTGGCTGCGAAACGCTTCCCATCTGCCTCCCGGCAGAAGGTACTGCGAATCTAAGCACAGCAGGCTGGCTGCGAATCTCTTCCCGCCTGCCTCCCGGCAGACGGTACTAGGAATCTAAGCTCAGCAATTGCATCCTAGCACGAGGTCAGCTGTGTTTTGGCCATTCTTCTGCTGGTGCGGCTGGCTGCGAAACGCTTCCCATCTGCCTCCCGGCAGAAGGTACTGAGAATCTAAGCACAGCAGACTGGCTGCGAATCTCTTCCCGCCTGCCTCCCGGCAGACGGTACTGGGAATCTAAGCACAGTAACTGCGTCCTTAGCACCAGGTTTGGTGACACGGCAGGCTGGTTGTGAAACTTGCTACGCGACAGACAGTACTCGCTCAGCAATTGCACTACAGCTCCAGGACTTGCTGGCCTCAGGACTTTGTGTTGACAGGTGTTTGTATCTGCGAAAGGCATTGATGCTACTCTGCGTCTGCAACACACAGCTCACGTACTCAAGTGTAACGCAGAGCTTGGTACCCTGCGTTTTCATCCAGGCGCTGCTTGAGTTGGAGCAGGTTTTGCACAGGTCTGCAGAAACTGGTCTTGCCAGCTCGGGCGGTCGAGTGTCGGGCTGTTTTGGCACATAAAATTCATTTCAATTGGCTCAGAAAAGCTTCGAGCCTCAGTGGACGCACCAATAAGCAAGACAATCGCATGTGTTGGAGCATTTAAATTCTGCAAATGACGTTACAGCTGAGTTCCGGACGGGGAAGCACATCTCAATACCTTCGTCAAGTCGAACAAGAGCGAGCTCAAAGCTTTTGGGCTTCCACGCGCTACATCGAGCTGGGTTCCAGGCTGCTGGATCTCTTTGGCTCAGGGATGCTTTCAAGAGGCTCAGAGAGGCTTTCAGCCTTCTCAACCCCCTTCATATAGGTAGATTAAATTCCTTCTCAAGAAGTCCTCAAGAGGCTTTCAAGAGGCTGTGAGAGGCTTTGAGCCTTCTCAAGCCCCTTCAGTTAGGTAGAATAAATTCGTTCTCAAGAGGTCCTCAAGAGGCCTTCAAGAGGCTCAGAAAAGCTTTGAGCCTTCTCAACCCCCTTCATATAAGTAGAATAGATTCCTTCTCAAGAGGTCCTCAAGAAGCTTTCAAGAGGCTCAGAGAAGCTTTGAGCCTTCTCAACCCCCTTCATTTCGGTAGAATACATTCTTCTCTAAAGGTCCTCAAGAGGCTTTCAAGAGGCCTCTCTCGAGCCTTCTCAACCCCCTTCATATAGGTAGAATAAGTTCCTTCTCAAGAGGTCCTCAAGCCTCAAGATGTCCTCAAGAGGCTTTCAAGAGGCTCAGAGAAGCTTTGAGCCTTCTCAACCCCCTTCATATAGGTAGAAAAAATTCCTTCTCAAGAGGTCCTCAAGAGGCTTTCATGAGGCTCAGAGAGGCTTTGAGCCTTCTCAACTCCTTCATATAGGTAGAATAACTTCCTTCTCAAGAGGTCCTCAAGAGGCTTTCGAGAGGTTCAGAAAGGCTTTGAGCCTTCTCAACCCCCTTCATATAGGTAGAATAAATTCCTTCTCAAGAGGTCCTCAAGAAGCTTTCAAGAGGCTGAGAGAGGCTTTGAGCCTTCTCAACCCCCTTCATATAGGTAGAAGAAATTCCTTCTCAAGAGGTCCTCAAGAGGCTTCCAAGAGGTTCAGAAAGGCTTTGAGCCTTGTCAACCCCCTTCATATAGGTAGAATAAATTCCTTCTCAAGAGGTCCTCCAGAGGCTTTCAAGAGGCTGAGAGAGGCTTTGAGCCTTCTCAACCCCCTTCATATAGGTAGAAAAAATTCCTTCTCAAGAGGTCTTCAAGAAGCTTTCAAGAGGCTCAGAGAGGCTTTGAGCCTTCTCATCTTCATATTCTTCTCTTCATATAGGTAGAAGAAATTCCTTCTCAAGAGGTCCTCAAGAGGCTTTCAAGAAGCCTCTCTCGAGCCTTCTCAACCCCCTTCATATAGGTAGAATAAATTCCTTCTCAAGAGGTCCTCAAGCCTTCTCAACCCCCTTCATATAGGTAGATTAAATTCCTTCTCAAGATGTCCTCAAGAGGCTTTCAAGAGGCTCAGAGAAGCTTTGAGCCTTCTCAACCCCCTTCATATAGGTAGAATAAATTCCTTCTCAAGAGGTCCTCAAGAGGCTTTCATGAGGCTCAGAGAGGCTTTGAGCCTTCTCAACTCCTTCATATAGGTAGAATAACTTCCTTCTCAAGAGGTCCTCAAGAGGCTTTCGAGAGGTTCAGAAAGGCTTTGAGCCTTCTCAACCCCCTTCATATAGGATAGAATAAATTCCTTCTCAAGAGGTCCTCAAGAAGCTTTCAAGAGGCTGAGAGAGGCTTTGAGCCTTCTCAACCCCCTTCATATAGGTAGAAGAAATTCCTTCTCAAGAGGTCCTCAAGAGGCTTCCAAGAGGTTCAGAGAGGCTTTGAGCCTTGTCAACCCCCTTCATATAGGTAGAATAAATTCCTTCTCAAGAGGTCCTCCAGAGGCTTTCAAGAGGCTGAGAGAGGCTTTGAGCCTTCTCAACCCCCTTCATATAGGCAGAATAAATTCCTTCTCAAGAGGTCTTCAAGAAGCTTTCAAGAGGCTCAGAGAGGCTTTGAGCCTTCTCAACCACCTTCATATAGGTAGAATAAATTCCTTCTCAAGAGGTCCTCAAGAGGCTTCCAAGAGGTTCAGAGACATATAGGTAGAATACATTCCTTCTCAAGAGGTCCTCAAGAGGGGCTGAGAGAGGCTTTGAGCCTTCTCAACCCCCTTCATATAGGTAGAAAAAATTCCTTCTCAAAAGGTCTTCAAGAAGCTTTCAAGAGGTTCAGAGAGGCTTTGAGCCTTTTCAACCACCTTCATATAGGTAGAAGAAATTCATTTTCAAGAGGTCCTCAAGAGGCTTCCAAGAAGCTGAGAGAGGCTTTGAGCCTTGTCAACCCCCTTCATATAGGTAGAAGAAATTCCTTCTCAAGAGGTCCTCAAGAGGCTTCCAAGAGGTTCAGAGAGGCTTTGAGCCCAACCCTCTTCATATAGGTAGAATAAATTCCTTCTCAAGAGGTCTTCAAGAAGCTTTCAAGAGGCTCAGAGAGGCTTTGAGCCTTCTCAACCACCTTCATATAGGTAGAATAAATTCCTTCTCAAGAGGTCCTCAAGAGGATTCCAAGAGGTTCAGAGAGGCTTTGAGCCTTGTCAACCCCCTTCATATAGGTAGAATAAATTCCTTCTCAAGAGGTCCTCCAGAGGCTTTCAAGAGGCTGAGAGAGGCTTTGAGCCTTCTCAACCCCCTTCATATAGGTAGAAAAAATTCCTTCTCAAGAGGTCTTCAAGAATCTTTCAAGAGGCTCAGAGAGGCTTTGAGCCTTCTCAACCACCTTCATATAGTTGACAGGTGTTTGTATCTGCGAAAGGCATTGATGCTACTCTGCGTCTGCAACACACAGCTCACGTACTCAAGTGCAACGCAGAGCTTGGTACCCTGCGTTTTCATCCAGGCGCTGCTTGAGTTGGAGCAGGTTTTGCACAGGTCTGCAGAAACTGGTCTTGCCAGCTCGGGCGGTCGAGTGTCGGGCTGTTTTGGCACATAAAATTCATTTCAATTGGCTCAGAAAAGCTTCGAGCCTCAGTGGACGCACCAATAAGCAAGACAATCGCATGTGTTGGAGCATTTAAATTCTGCAAATGACGTTACAGCTGAGTTCCGGACGGGGAAGCACATCTCAATACCTTCGTCAAGTCGAACAAGAGCGAGCTCAAAGCTTTTGGGCTTCCACGCGCTACATCGAGCTGGGTTCCAGGCTGCTGGATCTCTTTGGCTCAGGGATGCTTTCAAGAGGCTCAGAGAAGCTTTCAGCCTTCTCAACCCCCTTCATATAGGTAGAATAAATTCCTTCTCAAGAAGTCCTCAAGAGGCTTTCAAGAGGCTGTGAGAGG